TTATTAGCATTTACGAGGTAAAAGTTTGTGATTCATTCATTCTCTATTACTTATTTGATTGAATATGACCTTTCAGGTTGATATTTTATGGGATAATTTTTTTGAGTAGGCTCATTACCTGATTTAAAAAAAAATAGTTTTCTATCTGTAGGCTGGAGGTATAAAGTCATAAAATGAACAGAAATTTAGTGTAAAACAAAAGGGACACTAAGTAATGTGGAAACTGATCACTGGGTTAATAATTCCAATTCCAAAATCACGTTTTGTTGGTTTCTTCACCTACAAAAAGCATTAATGAGACTTACTAAACTATCAAGTTTTTGAAAATATAATCAGAATATAATCACAATAACCACAAATATTGTATCCTTCAACAGTCTTTTCTTATTTATAATACATTTAAAATTACTACTAAATAAACATCTGCCATAACCACTAGTTCAGATCAGCAAGCATTGTTGTACTAATAGTCTAATTATTAAAAACATTTTAACTATCTTTCCAATGTTTGACAGGTGCTTAAATTTCCTTTTCACTCAAAGCATTATTTTTAGTATTCAATTTATCTCTATTCAATTTTCTTCAATGAAGGGCACCCTTTATCCTTCCTTCTCATTTCCATTTCTTAAACTTTCATCTGTAAACCCCTTACTCAACTTATAGAACTTTCTTCCAAATCTATCTCCTCAAACCTAACATGAAAAGAAATGTTACACCTTTTTTTTTTTGAGATGGAGTCTCACTCTGCTGCCCAGGCTGGAGTGCAGTGGCTCGGTCTTGGCTCACTGCAAGCTCCACCTCCCAGGTTCATGCCATTCTCCTGCCTCAGTCTCCCGTGTAGCTGGGACTACAGGCGACTGCCACCACATCCGGCTAATTTTTTGCATTTTTAGTAGAGATGGGTTTTCACCGTGTTAGCCAGGATGGTCTCGATCTCCTGACCTCGTGATCCGCCCGCCTCGGCCTCCCAAAGTGCTGGGATTACAGACGCGAGCCACTGCACCCAGTCCAGAAATGTTATGCTAAAACAACCACTGAGATACCACTGTGTCAACTTTTCTTATGACTTCTCTATTTAAGCGAGGAATTTTTAATAACAAATAAAAAGTATTGAAAGAAACGAAGTATATATTTTGTTTGATATTAATGCCGACATTTTAACAGTATCAGTCAAATTTCTAAATAATTAACAATATAGCTATTTATCATTGTTTTTCAGAGTTTCATGAGACAAGTTCGTGAACAAATAGATAATTTTGATAACTATTCCAATATCTCTCAAAGAAATTAAATACTGAAATTGAAGGAAAACAGCATATTTATCTTATTTCCCAGTAAATGGACACCCAGCATTATAGAGAAAATGGTGCTTATGTAAAATAGGAATATCAGTAAAAGAAAACTATCCACGTCCTCTGGCCTATCTTGTGAGTAATTTTCTGCCTTACTCTACAGAGAGTTCTTTGGAGAAGTTTCTCTCACTCATTCAATTGTCATTTATTAGTTCATCCTTTAATCTAACTCTGAGATTTCCACGCTCATTCCCTCAATCAATCAATCAATCAATTACTAAGGCTTTAAAAATGTGTCAGGCCCCAGGCCCTAGAGATACACAGATAAGCAGCAGAGTGACTGATCCTCAAGGGCAGGAGCTTGACAGTCTGCAGGGGGAGGCATCCATGCAAGGAAGCTACTACAACATGGCATAACTGCCAAGGGAGGAGGCGTTGGGGAGAGAAGAAAGGAGGTCAGGGAAAACTATGCAGGAAAACTTTATGTCCAAACTATGTTTGAAAGGGAAAGAATGAGTTTCTTTGGTAAAGAACAGGAAAAGAGGTATTTCAGAAAGAGGAAACATCATCTATAAAAGCATGAAAATTCATGGAACTTCTAGTAGAACTTGCATTGATAAGAGTTAGAGAAAGAAGAAAAGAATATCCAATGATCAATAATTCTTGAGAGATGAGCCCAGGTCAGTTTACGACAGGCCTTTTGAGCCACAATTCCTTATACATAAGTAAATGTTTGCTTCACTGTCACCAACAATACCAAGTTTCATTTAAACTAAGAGACATCTAAGGAAAGATATCTATCTTTTTAACCCAGGACTCGTGTTAAATATAGTAACTGCCCATTGATACATGGATGAGATCACTACTAGAAAAGGAAAAAACAAAAAATACCAAAAGAAATCAGAAATTAAAATATTTAAGCCATAAAATATAGATTTCCTAATATCATTCATGTGTAGCTGAAATAAATCAATCTAGAACCCTAATTATTTGTATATACTAAGACTAGCATAATTCAAAAGAAAAGATTTGACATACAGGCTTATTTTTCTAAAACTTCTCATTTTTTGTTTTAATGTTTAACTGTTATATATGTTTTAGAATATAAGATAGGAAATTAAAAGAAAAATTCCAAGCTTTTAAACTCTGGGTTCTTAAATAGAATGATTATATCTAGAAATAAATTGTGCAGGGTTCCTTAGGACTCCTATCAACTGAGGCTGATTGGCAGGTATAGCTAGTATTCTCATGAAATCTTCCCTTAAAATCTTGTTTGGGCAGTAACCTTAAAAATTTGGGAGTAGTTACATAAATTTGGTAAGCTCTCAAATACATATTTGATAAGTTGATTTGCTTATTTTTCAAATAGTTACACAGTCTGTTATCATTTAGCTATAAAATTAACAAAATAAACTATCTTTTAATTAAAAGTTCACTGTTGAAAAACTCTGTACTTCACTTTTTATTGGCTCCTGTATTTTACCATACTAACAAATTAAATGGTATTTTGGATTTTTTAAAAGATCTAAAAAGTCTACTTTATAAAAAAAATTTAAGACATTATAGCACTACCAAACGTGGGATTTTTGGCTACCATGAATTCTGAATAACGAGTTCCTACTTAAGGACAGAAAATATTTATTAGCACATCTGCATTTCAAAGCTCTTGTTTTGAGAACTCTTCTACATAACTAAATAAAGTAACATTGTTATACAGTCTGCATATTTTTATATTCAATTCTTTACTAAGAATTATTTTCCACATTTACCTAGAAACTACAGCTTTCTATTTCATCAGGGAATGACAACAGATTTTACCAATACGAGGAATCACACTTTTTTGGAAAGTACACCATATAATAATGTGTTTTGCTTTATAGCTCTTTTCGAAACTGGTAACTATATAGAGTGAAGTAAAAAGTGGAATCTATTTTCCTTTCCCAACTCTAAGACCTTCTATCTGGGCCAGACTTTGATATTTGCCCCTTGGCTGAGAATCCGCATATCCAACTTCACACTTAGCTGCAGTGAAGTAGCCCTGCAGGCAGGCCGACTTCAACGAACCACTAGTGGTATCATCATTAAAATCCTGCTGAAGGTCACCATGGTAACCGCCTGCTGAGGCTTCACTGCTGCACTCGGCATCTCCTAATCAGCTACCATGTGAAATGCAAATTCAGACAGTCTGAAAATTAGTCAAGAAGAATAGGGGATGAGGATGCAGATATGTGAAATATTCATGCGCTTCATGGAAAAAAGAAGACAGCATGAATGACACAACAAAGAAAGGCCCCTGACATTCTTGCTATCATTTTGCATTATTGTTCACACCCTACTGTATTTCCAGGCCTATAGTTCTGAAGTTGGTTTTGTGAAATGCCATATTTATAGTCTATACCCAAAATAGTAATTAAAAATGGCTAACATAATAGTATTAACATCAAATAAAGATAATACTTTTAAATCATCATCACTGCTGTGTAACAGTTTATTCTAATTACCTGAATACGAATGTTATGCAGAAAAAAACAGGCATCACCGATTATCAGTATCAAAACTACCAGAAGAAAAAGTGCCTATTATATTATAGGAACACAAATGCTTTACATGTGGTGAAAATTCTTTAGAGATATTTATTATTCAAGTTACACGAACTCAAATTTCCTTACATAATACTAAGACCCAATGCTATTCGTTTCACAATAGGAAGACTGACATGATTACCTAATAAGTGAACATTATAATTGTTTTACATTTTTTCTTTTCTCCTTTCCATTTTCCTGAGGCAAAAAATCTGTTGCTCATGAGAAGGTGCAATGTCCTAACTCAAGACACTATTTTCTCTGGGTAGGTCCCTGATGAGTATTCCATAAAGTGCTAATATGAAACATTTTAGTTGACCTGAGATACTGCTATTCTGCATATATCCTCCTTAAATATTGGTAAAATCATGATACGTTAGGCTAAAATGGGAGATGTTTTGTTCAATGAAAGACTGGACACTAGGTAGAGCCAAAACAACTCACTTCAATGGGTTACCAAAGCAAGCAAGCATTCAGACTCAGATCTTAATAAGGTAGCCTTCTAAGATTTTCAGCCACAGCTAACACACTTTTTAAACATGTCTACAATGATAACCTCAAAACATTTCCCCAGTAGAATCTGGGTATAGCAGTGAGATGATAATAGGACAGGTATTGTCAAAGGAGGGAAGATAAAGCTTAAAGAATAAGGGTCAGAGATACGTAGTTAAGAGATGCATGTTTCGAGCTTTGGAAAACATGGATGAAAGGGGAGTCTGCCAAAATAGAAAATTACAACTGTGTGCCGGTCTAGGACTGTGAGAATAAGGAGTTAGCCCTGTTACAAAGGGCCATCAGACATGATGATTAACTAGAGCCTAGGTATGAGCATTAATTCTGCCCTTTGCACCATTCAGTACACTGTAGAGTCAGCTACTATTCTTATCACACCTAGAAAGTGGCCAATTTTACACTACATTCTGGGTTGTGGTCTACTACACATCATGAATTGCAGAGTCAACTCTTCAGACAGCAAGTCTCCAAGAGAATGAAAACAGAATAAAATGTGCTAGTTCTGCTACGTATACCATTCATTTTCATTTCTGGATAAAGTAAAATTTCTTAATAAAATAAAAATGTTAGCAAAATGGACAACAGACGAACACGTGGACTGAAAATGACTTACTTCTTCTGAATAGTGATCTGAAGGAAGAGGTGGGTAGTCACACTGTTCTATCTTCTTACACAGTGAGTATAAATTCATTTTGTCACCATAGAAAGGACTCTGTAATGCAGCCATCTGTAAAATGCTCCCAATGAAACTGATATAGTTACATGGTAACTTAAAAGGTGATTTCATCAAGTATATTATACAGTGGTAGAAAATAATTACAAATATTTTAGATAAAGTTATCTGGGCATTTTGATTTTTATGAATATCCCCGTCTGAGAAAATTTATTAAGAGTTAAAAATCTTTCTGCAACTTTTGTTTTTTTTCCGACATTTAAAATGCCCTAAAATAGAGAATTAGTTAACATATTTCTTTATATACAAATGCAACATAAAACAATATTAAGAAAAATAACACAATTTAAAAACTCTTTGTACCTATAATGAAATAAAAACAACTACTGTATCTTACAACAAAACAGTCATCACAAGGTATAGCTCAACCATATAGAACAAACATGAAACTGAAGTTAAAACTGAATTATAATCTAGCATAGGGAAGAGAATGCAGAGCATTTTGTCTTGCATAATAGTTTCTGAAGATAAAGGTTATTCTGAGAAAAAACAGTCTTCTCAATTTAAATGCAATAACAGATCCCCAAATAGTTTACAATGAATTAGAACTATTTTCTTTTGATAATGTCTCAAAAACATTAAATATGCTCAAAAGCTCTACGAGTCATAGCTGTAATTCAAGGCTTCCAAATGAGATTTTTATGCAGAAAAACGTGACCCAAAGGATGAACAACTTTAAAAAAGACATTATTGAATTTAAATTTATTTTAAGACAAGGTTCTAACTTGACATTTAAAGTGCAAGCAAGTACTGTGGTAAGCAGGGTTACAAACTAAAAATTCAATTTAAAATGTTCGCATCCTGTTCAAAACCTTCTAAATCTTTGAACCGCAGCAGCAAGAATACAACACGGAGTGCCAGGCTGCCCCAAAGTCAGTCACCCTTTTCTACATGTGCTAATAAGTTTGATTTTGGAAGGACAATGTGTACATTCCCCAGACAGGCAGAGTGTGTGTGAAACACGCTAGTCCATGCTGTGCTACTCAGTGAGCGTCAGTGGGGACAGGACAAGCTGAAAATGGCTCTCATCTGTCTTCTGTGCTCCAGACAGAGGTTTAACTCCTTCAGAGCCTTGATGAGAAGGGGATGGGATTGGAAATCAAAACTGGCAAGTAGCTCAACACATTTTTATCTTGCCTATGTTTTACAAGTATATAGAAGTACCTTAGGAAGAGTTGTTTCACATGACGAGAAAAAAGTTAAAAACAATCTGAATGCCCCTAATCATATAAAACACTTTGAGAGGAAATTTCTAAAAGAACTACAATAATAATAATAATAATAATGGTTTTTGTTTTAAATGCAAGGACACTTTAAGACAAATGTTACCTTAAAAATACACTGTATACATAAACTATAGTCTCTCTGTGTTTGCAAAACCTTAAGTAAATGTACATATATTCATTATCATATTCTAGGCGTTCATTATAGTCCTTTTCCTCAGTACTGCAGAGTGTTAAAAAAAAAATCTGAATGTCCCCTAAGGAGTTAAACAGGAATAGTATATTTTCATGCATCTCCTGCTTTGACAGATGAAAAATGTCAACTGTCCTGTTTTTATTTTCAAGCTTTTGCACTATTCATCTGGTTCATTAGTGCATCTCGATGCTGCCCCTGACAGCTGCTCGCCCTCTCCTCCCAGCAGCTGAATTTTTCAGGCTAATTTGATCCTCCACACTGAGACGATCGCTAGAATGATTGACTTACTCCCTGACCTCCAGGGTCTGACTTTCCTGATTAGTATTCTGGGGGTGTCGGAGGGACGAAAGCCCACTGTCTGTCTTCGGGGCTGGTGGCAGCTCTCTTTTTTTTTGAACTGTAAGCCACCAACCTACAACCCTGTAAGGATGCAATTGCTGCGCTGAACAATAAAGGAAATGTGTAAAACCTACTTTTCCATGTAAAGGTCCGTGTAGCAAAAGCACAGCATCTTGATTTTAATTAGTAAAGTCTACTTTGTTGCATATCAATTAAAACTGTACTGCTAGTTTTTTTTTTTTTTTTTTTGAGGTTTCAGGAATATTTGAAAGTCTAATTTTCTGAGTTTAAAATACATTTTCAAAAAAGGCTTCCTATGTCTTCATTGTTAATAGTAATTTTTTAGTGCGTACAATACAAAATATGTGCTGTTATGACCAATTTTTAAAAGCCAAACTGTTAGGTATTTCTATTAACAATACACTGAAACATAAGTGAAAGGAGATAGAACATAAAGTTAAATTACAGCTTTAGAAAAATTCTAGTTCTTCTAAAAGATTTGCATGGAGAAATCAAGAAAATGCATTGAGATGAAAACTAACGTTAGCATGATAGATACTTTAACTGAAAATCATCCACCATACATATAACTCATGGATGTAGGAATGTCCAAAGATGCTATTTTTATTTTTGTGGCATTTTAAGTCCGCCTAAAAATGGGACACCATCTCTCAAAGGCAAATTCAAAATGTGACAAATTATTTCAGTTTTGACATGAGTCTGCTAGACCTAAAATAATTATGCAAACTTCCTCTCAAAATTCAACAGAATTTTTTTTTTTATTGCTAAATTTAATCTAGTTATTGGAAACCAATTTGCTGTTTACTTTTAGGGATTTGAAGAGAAAATGTTGTTTTGATAATATTAGACTATGGACTAAAGGAATCTAAAGGTTAACTAAACAGATAATATTTTAAATGTACAGAGTGACTAACTTTTAAACATTATAGTAACAATGTAATCAATCTTGTTCTTGTTAGCATTGTACTAAATTATTAACAAAATATAAAACAGTGAGCATAATTTCTTGTAATCCCATGGGTACATATAAAAACATGTTTTGTTACATTACTGACTCATAATGTTTCATAACTAAAATTATCCAAAGTATACGTTTATTTAAGAATATTTAAAAATCCTTTCATTTTTAAGTAGTTGTTAGTCACTTCAGTAGGAAGAACAAAACAAATAATTTCAGGTTCCTTAAATTAAGGGAATTTGAATCTGCAATGAATAAAATAATAAAAGATCATGACACACATTTTTAAAAAGTCCAACAACACCTCCTAAAGCTGCTTTACTTCCAAGTAACGGTGGCAGAATTAAAATAGATGACTTCATCATATATTTCATTTAAGTCAGGAGGACAAGAGACACAAAATATATAGTAGGAAATGCATTGGTTTCTATTTATCCTCTTTAGACTTCTCTTATATACACAGAGATATGAAAATGATTCCTACACAGGGATATGAAAATGCTTCCATGTATTACATTTCCTCACTTTATTAAAACCTACTTAGACACAGACTAATTTTTAATTAACAGCTTTGACTGGAAGCCTGTATTCCTAAGAAAATTATCATTCAATTAAAAAAACAAAATTACAGAAGTCACTAGCTTGAGATACTTTTATATCAACACAGACGTAAAATGTGTTACTAACATGCTTTCTTTTATCCATCCAAATTATTACAGTGCACCATTTCTAGAGGACCTACCTACATGATTCCATCTTCCTTTGATAAATGATCACCAGTAGAACAAAAGAGAGAGCATTTCACTGAGCTTTACCACTACAAATTGTTACTCATGGAAACTAAATTGATAACCTAGAAGAACTATCTGTTTGCATACTATACTTAATGCTAAATAACACCTGTGTAAAAGTGAAATAAAATATTGATAAAGATATTTACTATGCTTTCATATATTAAATCCAATCCATTATACCTCTCTTGTAATGCATGGATCAAGATTTACAGATGTTCAAATGTATATTTTTATAAATGCAAGATATACAGAAAGGTATTATATTAACATAAAAGTTAATGCTTTTAGTTTAACTTGTCATCAAAGGAACACAAAAAATATATTAGATGTATAGGAATGTATAGTTATTAAATTCCATTACACAAAGTTATTAACCCAATGAAAATTCCTCATAATTAAAAAGGTGATTCTTAAACATCCAGAAAAAAATAAGTATATACTATAAGGATAGAGGAAATATACTAAGTAAAACTGTATCAATATTTGGAATTTATCAACATTACCTACCTCATATAGTAGACAGCCAAGAGACCAGATGTCAGATTTGAAGTTGTATCCATTTTCATGTATTCTCTCTGGAGACATGTAATAAGGCGTACCAACTGCAAAAAAACAAACCAAATAAAATAAGAGGTATATAAAAATACAGATGCAGCTGTGGTAAGAAATTACATACAAAATTTTGAATTTAAAAACATCACCAAAATAATTCATTAGGATCAGAAAGCTGTTCTTAAGAATACTAAAAACTTTTTAATTTCTTCTTTACTCCTTGACCCTTAAATAGTACATTAAAAACTGTACAAAACAATGTGCTGGGTTAAACTTTATTTCCTTCTGATCAATCCAAGAAGAATCTAGGGAGCATAACTAAGGGAAAAAAAGTAATTCTGACAAGAATACCTACTTAAATGATTCACACTGGCATTATTATTTTTTTAATTTTTTTTAAAAAAAATATGGTTTGCATATCCCAAATAATTAAGCATGATAATTTAAAAATAAATAGTATTATATAACAATTTAGTAGAGTATGCACAAATAAATCATATTTGTTAACTTTTACAGAAACATCCTTTAGAACACAGTGTGGCTGTTAACAAATGATATAGCACTTGGTGCCTTACTTCCACTTTAGAAAGAATACCACAGACTTTTGTACATCAAAGGATTATATAATAACAAATGTGAAAGGGTACTGGCATCTCTGGAAAAATGTCTTCAGTTACTGTAACTACTGAGACCTTTTAAAAGACAAGACACTCAAGATAATTTTTGTTTTTGTTTGTTGGCTTTGACGTGCTAATATTTTTTCTTTTTTTAATGACTGTTTTAGAAAATGCTATTAAACACTTGAAAATAAAAAGAAGCATATATGTTAGACTTTGAAATGTAAAAATATTTAAGTGACTTTCAAAGTGAGTATCTTTAATTTCAAACTCAGATGGTTATTTCACCATCATTAGTCTAAGGCTTTTTGCCAAATAGAAAATTAAAGTTTAAGAACATTTAGAATCTTATTTACCTGAGGGAAGGGCCACCAAAAATATGTTGCTACTCAAAGAGAAAAGGGCAGTCCCCTTTTTCTATTAATTTTCAAGATCTCCCCAGGTGTTTACTATAAATCTTAATAAGACTAACAATACTGAACAGGGGTCTTTAGTTAGAAGCAACAAAAAGATTCACACCAATAATCAAAGCACTATACTCAAAGGCAGCAGTCAGTTTGCCAAAAGAATAAATTTATAACCTAATAGTTATGTGTGGAAACTATACTAAGCTAAAGGTGGAAACATCATGTACCATGACCCATGATATCCTACCTGTATCGGAATCCATTTTTACTAATCATGGATAGCCCTAGTCAGACTGGATGAAAGAAAAGTATTTATGAAAGTGATGAAGAAAAGTTAAGAAAAAAAGTATGCAAACAGAAGGATAAGAAATTTAAATAAAATACGAACCATTAATATATGAAAATTAATGAGATGAACTTTAAGATATAGATTATTTAATTGTAGCATTTATTTGAAGACAAACATGTAAATATGCCAATTTCTGTGTCAGAAAAGCAAAGAACTTTGGAAAACAGCTAGGTTTAAAGAATCTGTGTTATTACTGTGTAAAATAAACACAAGCTATCTAGCTTTGGGAGTTCTAACCACTTTCACCTGTAGTTTGCATAAGTGACACCAATTATTGGAAATATTTACACATTCTCTCCATTTAAGGAAGGATGGTAGGTACAGTTAGAATAATAAACGGGCTCTGCTCCTGGTTTCAGGACATAAAGCAAGTGACTGGCAGTGAGGAATGTGCAGAGAGAGGCTTCACGGAATCCACAGGGGGGCAACTGAAAACACTGAGGCTTGAAGGTTCAGAGTTTACCAAAAGCAAAGGTAATTTTAACCGGTAGCTCTGGGAAACCTGCTGATACATTAGGGGTTTGATATGAGTGTGAAAGATTGATGATAAGGAAAAAGAAGAACAAATGCTAGCATTTTACAGAGATTAGCCCCAGCATAACACCTTAACTGCAACACAAACTGAACTCAAAGACGACCCAAGTGAAGGGAGCAAAGGAAAAGAATGATTAGGAATTCTACTAAGCTAAATTTGAAATGCAAAAAATCTTAATGTACAAAAATCCTTTTTCAGTGAGCTGCTGGAGGTCATTGCAAAAAGTTACACACTCAGTTAAGACTGATACTTTATATACTGATGCTTAATATTATAAATAACAAGCCTCTTTATATTAAATAAGCATGTTTTATTTCAATATTTAAACTACATATATTCATTAGTATATATTAAAATGTAAAGCTAAGGATGCTACTCAGCTCTTTGATCAACATATTTCCAAAAGTCATATAAGATGAGTAAGTTTGTATTCTGCACTATAATTATTAATTGGATAAATTCATAATTAACTGGGGAACACAGGCCTAAGAGGGAGATTCTACTGTCTCCTGACATGCTTCCTCATATGCCCCTCCATTCTGGACAACGACTCTTACGCTGACTGACACTGAGCAAAGAGGTACAGCCCCATCACGTAAACTGATTCGTCCTTACCTCTCTCTATCTAGCAGAGAGGCCTAAAAGTTTAAGTGCTCAGGAAAATTTGCAGTACATTTAAATGCAGTGATATGTTTTCAACATTTCAAAATTAATGAAGATATAATTATTTCCAAAAAACTTTTTCAGAGATTCATGACAGCTGTGTCTATGATTTCTGTTGCCTCAAGAATGTTGTGACTTCTTTTAACAGTTGTACAAGAAAAGAGAGTTATGGAGTGATATGATTAGACATTAAAATGATCATGTGAATTACTGTCCTATGTATTCAGAAGCTTGAAGACTACAGCACATGTAATTCCACTTATCTTTCAAGAATTTATGATTGTAGGTAAAATGAGAGTACATTTTGCAATAGCAGACATTATGCCACTTTAACCTTCGGACATGAATAAAAGTAGGAAATGGATGATAACATTATAAAAAACAGAGGCTGACAGAGGAAAACTAGTAACAACTAAAAATCTTACTTGACCTTTCTTTATTCTATATTAATATCACATTAAAATATACTAAGGCAGTCATCCACATGTAAGAATCCCTTTCATTACATTGACTTATTCTAGCTATATAAGAAAAGTTTTATATGGTATATACTCCATAAATATATATATACTAATCTTTATCCTGAATAAAATGAAGACTGGTATCTAGAAGTTCTGCAATATGTTTAAGAGAATCAACAAGTTCTGCTAACATGTTGTTATTATAGAAGACATAACTAAATTAATAATTTTCATCAGAGCAGGTTATATACAGAATAGTTTAGCTAACATTTTAGCATTGTAATCTCTGCAAAGATTTGAATGAAAAAAGAAAACAGAATGACTGAAGCATTCTCATATGTGGTTAGCTTTGGATTGTTTTTTTTGTGTGCTTTTTAAACAAGGGAGGCAGCACAAAACCAGTGAAAGATAAATCTCTTTCACATCTTACATTTGCCACTAACTAGTTAGGACCATTTAACTTCTCTTTTCATTTCCTTCCCTCATCTGTAAGATAAAGTCATGAGAAAGATGAGCTGATCTCCGAGGTCCCTTTTGCTTTAAAATTCTGTAGCACTTAAAAAAACTCTACAAAAATCCATCTGGAAAATAAAATGGAAAAAAAATAGTCCTTTTTAAACTATTACTTAGGAAAGCTGAGTGAGAGTGTTTTAAGTCAGAGAGTACACACAAATGAACTAAGTTTAGAAATATAGTTTATTTCTCTTAGAATCAGAGCAAACTACAGACAAGAAAGCTTTAAATATTCCTTCTTGGGAAAATTAAAAGGAGACAAGTCATCTTTCACCTCAGTTTGATATAAACACACACACACACACACACACACACACACACACACACACCCCTTCAGGGAATAGGACTTAATTTCCATTCTTTCCTTCATACTCATGAGTCAGCCCAGAAATTATGTTGGCAGACAGAATGGAGAGAGGGCACATTTATTTCATTGTAAGGAGTACTAACTGAGGTCAATATAGAATGGCTGAGTAGGAGATCAATATTTCTTCTGCAAAAGACATATATAAAATAAAATTTGTCATCTTTGAAGTGCAACTGATAACATTTAAGAGCTTTAATAATGCTGAGGTAAAACACCTAAGCATATTTTATTGTTATTGTTGCTGTGCTCCAGGCCCTGTGTTAAATGCATTCTATGTATTATCTTGCTGAATTTTAACAAACGTTTACCATGCCCTGCTGCATGGCACACACAATTCTAGGTCCTGTGCTGACAGAAGTAAACAGGACAAATCCTTGATCTTGTGGGGCTCACAGTCCAATGAAACAGGAACTATTATAAGGTAGTTTTATGAGATGTTTCAACTATTATACTGCTTTTGAGAGAAGGCATAGGAAGTCGGTCAGGTAACTTGCCAAAGATCATAAAACTGGTAAGCTGTAGACTTGGAATTCAAACCCAGGTAGTTCTTGTCTCTTGCATTTAAGCAGATGGTTATTTCAGTATAAATGACCACTGTGAAATACAACTGAAAAAAATATGTGTATCTTTCCAAATTAAGAAGCAGAGAAATCTAAAAGTCACAGCATGTACATATGAAAAACCAGGAATAAGGGTCCAAGTTCAATGGGCCACATGTGAAAATTATGCTACTCTGCAGCTATGCTGATTCAAATAAATACTTGTTATGGCGGCTGGGAGGTTAAACGTGCAGTTTAAAATTAGATAATAGCTTCTTACCAGAGCAATTACTTAAGTCAATAAGGGACTGAAAGTTAAAAATAAATCAGTGAAAGCAGCCTATAGTACTGACTGAACATATGCTGCCTTTACAGCTCTAAACCACCCTGAACAACGAAGGGGTATAAGCCAAAGATCTATCGAGAGGTGCTAGGAAAGGTGTGGGAAAAACAAGTATGTGACCACAGGTGGCACCTGGCACCAAAAATGAAACTGTTTTAATGCCTGGTTCAAGAACACTAATTTTCTAAGTTGAAATCAGAGCATATATCACACTTGGAAATAGTGTGGGGAACACGAATTGTACACTCAAGAGACT